AGTATGGCCAATAACAGGTTTCCCTTATATTTCTTGATGATATAATTTGTTGGAAAAATAGGCATAAAATAATCCAAAAGACAAATCATAAGCATTTTAGTAACGAAGGTGGTCACAAGCTTACAGATATGTAGATTTCTTTTTTGCAAGATTGATATTATATACTTATTACATAATTGCATATAGATAAAACATACGTATATACAAACATATGTATATATATTACCTTTTTAGTTGAGGGAAAAAAGTTATTAAAAAATTTTTTTGGAACATAAAAAGTACAAATAAATAAAATTAATATATTTGCACTTGCACAGCTTGACCGCATGACGACATATTATATTTTTTATAGGAATAAGGGAGACAAACGAGCACACAGTCCACCTAAATGGTAAAGGGATGCTGTTGCTCGTAGACATCTACATCTATCCTCGATGAAAAATAAAAATTCAGATGTGTGGTCATTCAGATGCTGTGAGAATAAAATCGAATGCCTGGTTAGCGGTAAAAAGGGTCTCCAGTTTCCTTTATTTACCGTATGGAACACAGCAGCGTCACCACCCATCCTTGATGAAGAATAGAGATGCAGATGAAATACATGCGTTGTTAACCTTGAAAACTAAAGATGGACCTTGTTACAACGAAACACGTCAGTACCTACGTAGATATAATATATATTCTTTGACATCAGTACTATACTGCTATTATATTCTGGTATTCTGTGAGAGCGTTGTCCTTCCCCGATCGAGCCGACCCATTCGTTAATGCAGCCATTAGGTACTTACACCCGCAGTGTTGCTCTACTACCAGGCTTTATATGCAAAGATGCGATATATTATACGTGGCTTTGAGTATTCAACCAACATACGAAGCGATCCTCTACAATAATATGTTTGAGAGTCATTTCTTGTGGACCGTTTACGTGTTTTTGAGGATGCGAATAAAGAATGAAGAGTTCGTCAGGACATTTCAATGTAGCTTGATAATGATATCCTTAAAGTTTATTTTATTTTATTTTAATATTGGCAAGTTTCCTTACAGTGTTTTTCTTCACCGTCAACTTCGATCAACAATACCAACCGCAACCGCATGAATATAAACTATGAAAAGACATAAATAAAATAACATTTAGTGTGAAATCAACCTAACATTATAACAAATAAAGTTCTTTTTCCCGTTATTGCCTTGCGAGCTACACTCTCACGTGCAAGATCGTCTCATGTGCGCTCTTATTTACTGAGATGGATTTCTTGCGCCGACCCGACATCTAGTTGGTATTGTTGATCGAAGACCGTCTAGCACGAGTCATATTACTGGAGCCGGCGCTTACTCTTATCTTATCTGTGGCCGGCCGAGCAGCACTGAACTCCAAAGAGTATATGAATCATTATTTCTCCAGTTTCTCGAGTACTGACATTGAATGATAGTGGCCAGTCTATGAGCTTCTTCTGTTCTTTTCTTGTATTATTTTATAAGTGCTAGATCTACACTGCAGCTATATTGTGGTTGCAGCACGAATAAGTCGGCTTGACCGGGGAAGGACCACGCTCTCACAGAATACCAGCGTAAAATAGCAGCTCAATGATTCTGTGTTTCATATGGTGAGTGTAGAGAACGGAAGACCCGTTTTACTGGAATGGAGGCATTCTATATTATGTCCTCAGGGGTGACAACGCATCTGCATTTTGATTATAAATCTGGGCTAAAAGTAGAATTCTATAGGTCACAGCATCCACTTACCATCAGGTGGACTGTGTGCTCGATTGTTACCCTTATTCTATAAAAAATGCTTAAATAGTCATAAATTCTCTTTATATATACTTATTTATATTTTATGTATGTATGCATGTAATCGAATTTTTTAGTTTAGTTTCATGCACTTCCGGATGATTGCACTATATAAAATTTTGCCGATATATTAAGTACCGATCATTATCATCGCAATCATCATTATCATTACAGCTCGTCACAAGCCCACTGCTAAACGAAGTAAATTAATAAGATGCTTTTCACAAATCTCGACACCGTCTGGGATTCGAATCAACGAACTGCGAGTCTGACTTGACGGTAAGACACTTTGACCACAAAATCACCCCGTCCTCAAATTTATATTTCAAAGTCAAACTCTTTTTATTTTTATTAAATGAAATAAAATTATTTAATAAAAATAAAAAGTCTTGACGTTATATTAATCTTGTTTAATGAATGTGCAAATCTACACCGATTCAAAAAAATCGATTCTATACCGATTTTTAAACCCATTATATTAGATTCGCAAAAACATGACCTTTTCAGAGAAGAATCGGCAAGAAGCTGCTGACACATGAGTAAAGAAACTGCTGTTTTATAGAATAAGGGAGTCAAACGAGCTACGGTCCACCTGATGGTAAGTGGATGCTGTGGTCCATAGACATTTACATTTTTGTCCTCGATTAATAATCAAAATGCAGATGCGTTGTTACCTCTGAGGACTGAGACTGGACTGGAGCCTCGCGTCCAGTAAAAAAGGATTTTTTTTTGCATGGGGAAATGCCTACGCATACCCGCCTCGCGGGGGGCAAAGACGGGTTATGTCGGACTCGCACCGACTAAAACCCCATGGTGTTCCACCTTTGTCGCATATTGGCAGGGCTACGGGAACGCTTTCGCACACATCCGCGGCCCTACTAGCGCCTGCCGCCCCATGGCAGCACCTCCTCGGGAGAGGAAAATTCCTCCCCGTTCTCCTTCCCAGGTAAGGCGCACCAGAACACATGGCGCGCCTTCCTCCACGGCCTCCAACTACGTCTGTGCAACAGACGCCCCCGCGTCCGATGCACAAAGGCCATGGGGCCAGGAAAAACGAGCACTTAGAAGTACTAGCCTTCCCGACCCCAGCGGCGAATCTGGTCTATGGCTCCGCCGCCAACCAAGATTCGGCTGCGGAGGGTAGGGAAACCGGCGCCTCGCAATACCGACAATCCTCTCCCCCCGCAGCCCCACCACCACCGCATCAACGGTGCGGCCCCGTTTGAGTCGCGAAGGATAGGGCGAGTGGCGCATCGCCAATACCAACACTCCTCTTCCTCCGCGACTCCACCTCGGCTGCAGCGGTAGAGGGTGCGCGAGTTCCCACTCGCTGCAGTCCACCAGCACACATCCGAAGTGGGCTCCCCAAGCCCACTCGGAGCGGCCACCTCAGGCCGGCCCTTCACCTCGGGCCAGCCACGTGGGTTCCTCTTTGTTCACCGTGGGAGACCAAGCCACGGCTACTAAGCCCCCCCGCCACGACAAGGCGGGAACCCGTTCGGGGGGGAGTAAAAAAGGATATCTGTATCTCTACACACACCATACGAAACACAGCAGTATTAAGCTGCTATTTTACTCTGGTATTCTGTGAGAGCGTGGTCTTTCCCCGGTTGAGCCGACCCGTTCGTGCTACAATCAAAATATGGCTGCAGCGTGGCTCTACCACGTATGCAAAATGCTGCCGCTAAAAAAAACAATTTACTAGTCTATGCTGTAAAGATGAACAATTACACTCTTTGTGTAAAAACTATTAAGCTATATACGATCGAGTGGTTGTTCGACTGCAAATGGCGTTATCTCTTTAGTTTCTACTAACAAACCTGCTACAGTGCTTAGTAAATAAGTAAACACATTCCTTATAATCAGGTTTGAGATATCTTTATTTCTAATAAGAATTTACAACAATTCACTTACATGAGAAAGTTTAAATACATACAAACAAATAATAGTCTTATCCTAGGCGTACCCTTATATATCGAATCAATTTCACTCAAACACATTCAGTTGTAATTATACATTTTTAGCAATTTTATTTCCAGAACAAACAAAATACTAATAAACAGGGTACTTTTAAAAAACTTACATAGCCAAGGCGTAAACAAACAAACAATGCTTGGTGCAACGCGCACCTTACACAGACCGAGCGTAGCTAGAAGCGACGCGTAAAATAGTGAAATCAAGGTACGCTCAAGTTGATGTTAAATAATATTTTAAGTGCTTTCTAAATGTTGGCATTGATTTTGCTTCTTTTTTGATATTTTTCGGTAATTGGTTATACAATTTCGCACCTTCGTAAATTTTCTCCATAAGTTTTTTTTTACCATAATTAGTTCTTGGGGTTAAGAGGCAAAGGTCCTTAGCACATCTTAGTCTAATTTTTTGTATTTGCTGTTTCTTTGTGAATGTTATTTGAGTATATTATATCTTTATTTAATATTTTTCTTATTACATGTACAAGTTTATATATATATATATATATTATATATACTATATATATATATATAGTATATATATATATATATATATATATGTATATGTGTGTTTGAGTTGTATATTTAATAATTTTGTTTGTTTATACAGTAGATTTGTTGGTGGGAGGAAATCACATTTAAATAATATTTTAATTAGTTTATTTTGTGACCTTTGTAGTGGTTCTAGATTTGTTTTCGCAGCGGTGCCCCAAACTTCACTCAAGTATTCTAAATGCGGTTTTATGAGAGAGTTATATATATATATTATCGAACTCTGTGCGGTAAACATACAACCATACCCCGTATGGCACCAGAAAGAGAAGTTAATTTTGATTTAATTTTAGAAATATGCGGTTTCCATGTTAAGTGCGAGTCTAATATCAGTCCGAGATATTTCTCTTCATTAACTTTATTTATAATTTGGTTATTTATTTTCAATGGCGTGTAGTGTGATATTTTTTTGTTTTTTGCTGTAAATATTATATAGTTTGTTTTGATATATTTATAGTAAGCCGATTGCGTTGAAACCAGATATTTGGAACATCTAAGTCATTTTGTGCTTCTTTAATAACAGTCTATAGAATGGCCAAAGTAGAATAGAGCGGTATCATCGCTATAGTCAACATTCAAATACAATATTGTTATAATACTTGGTCAAACATTAAAGTGTTATACAATAATAAAAATGAAGAATTAAAAATTAAAAGGTGGTCAACGTAAGAAAATGTATCCACAACCACAATGAGAGGACGGGTAACGGGCTTACGGGTATAAAACCACGGATCTCCCTCCTCGCGCAGTTACTCTGTTCAAGAGCTCGTGTTGACTGCACGCCCGTTGACCCTATCCACAGACTACCGAAAAGTAAGTTTTTTTCTTAAATTATCAGTGATATAAAAGTGACAAGCTACCAACATTACTGTACCTAGATCAGCATATTCCATAAGTGTTTAAAATTATTTATGTATATCAATTTGAACAAATTGTAACTCTATGTAATTCTGGGATATTATCTGATTAGTTCAAGGTTAGTCATACTCATACTATGTAGAAAATTTTATGGGTGTAGATTTATGTAATTGTCGTGTGGAGCTGTGGAGTGGTGAATAATAAATGTAGTTAGATTTAATATTTAAAAATATCTATAGATAGATGGAAATTAACTTAAGTTACAAATCGTTTAAAGGAAAAGAAAACCATTTTGTATGAAATTCTTAAAGTTAATTAATTAGGTAAATTATCAATCGATCATTAATAGTTACGCATAGCACTAGGCCTATTATTAATGGAACTGTTTAAAGAAATGGCATAGCACTATTTTCATTTAAGCCGACTTAAAAAAGGAGGAGGTTCTATTTTCGACTGTACGTATTTATGTATGTTTACCGATTTCTTCGTCAATTGTGGACCGATATGATAATTATTTAGGTTATATTTCAGGGTTGGTCCCATTTAAATTTGGAAAAAATAATCCACCCCTAAGGGCGATATTTTTAATGTAAATTATTTAGACAGTATTGAGATAGTGATGTGTGAAAACGTCTTAAAAAAATTTGATGGCTACTGGAATTTATAGCCGAGGCACTAATGAACCTCTATTAAAATTTATGTAGTAGATGTATTGTGTATTATGCATGTTAAAAATTAACTTTTAACAAAGGGATAAAGCCGATTTCCGGGTACTAAAATAATAAAATACAACACGTATTTTATGGAATGACTGGAAGGGCTTCACAATGTGAATTATTTTTAATGAGGGTACATAAGCATAAGTACCTCCGCTATAAATCCTAGTTCTATCAACGAATTCTTTTAAGGCGTTTTTATAGCTTCATCGGAGTTAGCGCCGAATTTAACTTTTTTTATAGATTAAGGGTGACAAACGAGCACACAGTCCACCTAATGGTAAATGGATGCTGTGGCCCATATACATCTGCATTTATCTTCAATTAAGAATCAAAATACAGATGCGTTGTCATCCGTGAGGACTAAGATGAAATGCGTCGTTTCCAGTAAAATGGGTCTCCGGTTTTTCAGGGTAGAAGTAGATGTTTGTGGGACCACAGTAACCATTTACCATCAGGTGGGCTGTGTGCTCGTTTTTCATCCTTATCCCATAAAAAAAGTTAAAAAAGGATTTGTCTATGGTCACAAGGATGGGAAACGGATTGGTTGAGCGCGGCGCCGACGTCCTCGTACCGGTGACATTGCTCCTCGTCAGTGTTCTGTGAAAAATTAGGTATCACAGTCTGTTGATGGATTTTTTGATTTTTCCCACCATTAGCTCGCGCGCCGCGCCCCGTGTCGCCGACAGTTGGACTGGTTGTGAGGTTCGTATTTGTAAAAATTGGCATGTCATCTCTTACTTCTTCATCATTATCATCATCATTCATAACCCTACGCAATTCCACTGCTGAATATAGGCCTCCCTATGCCACAAAGCACGGTCCTGAGCCACCTGCATCCATCGACTTCCTGCATGTCTTACCAAGTCGTCACTCCATCTAGTTGAGGGTTACCCTACACTACACCTACCGGTACGAGGCTGCTACTCGAGAACCTTTTTTCCAAATCGGTTGTTGGTTCTTCGAACTACATGGCCGGCCCATTGCCACTTCAGCTTACTAATCCGTTAAACTATGTCAGTCACCCTGGTTTTACTGCAGATATTCTCATTTATAAGTTTACCACGCAAAGCACCTCCAAGCATAGCCATCTCCATAGCTTGCTGGCCGTATCGGAACGCTCACATTGAGCGTTCTGATACGGCCAGCAGTGAGGGACCACATCTCAGATCCATAAGTCATCACTGTCTTACTTTTGTATGGTAGTTATTATACTCTTTGCCCCCTTATTTCCCGATCAAACAGACATCGTGCGTATTTGCGGTGCCTCCTCCGTTCGTATACGTCGTTGATATTCCGTAAAGCGAGCTATGCTTATTTATACTAGTATACAAAAGCAAGCTATGTTTAATACTCTAAGTTCCGTATCGTCTGTCCAGACTTGGTAGGATAAGATCAAAAGGGATAGGACCTAGAGGCGTAAAGCCAGTTATAAAAGAAAACAGTTTTGGTGCCACGTTTACGCAGCACTAATTTCCGAAGTATAATGTAACACGTCATTTTAATTTATTAAATTGACACAGCGTCAACAAAGATAAAACAAATGACTGAAAAACAAATAAACCAGTTTTCTTTTTAAAGCAACGCATCATATATTTAATATGATATCGATTCTGATCTAGTAATGGAACTACAATATCAATAAATACTCATTAAATAAAGAGCTAAAATATAATTGAATGTAATTAAATATTTTATATATTGATTTTGAACGACTAGTGGATTAATTTAGAAAATAATCAAATCACAATTTATAATGCAGATTAATTTACTCGTCGATAGTTAGTTACCTATTAATTTTCGCATGTAATGTCCAAGGCAAATAAATTCTGCAGTTTTCAGAAATAATCTCGATACACTATGACACATTGCAACAAACTATTTTTAGAATATGAACCAATTAATAGAATAAGTACCAACATGTGATGTAAATCTACGGTCCTATATTTGAAGACAGTCTTTAATAACCCCAATCCGCTCACGGTGGTAATTTCCAGTTATTACGGACAAGATAAACTCTTTTTTTATTTACCCTCAAACGCGATTGCCTAAAAGTATACTGAAAAGAAAAAATATAGGTATATACCTAAACGATGAAGCCGTTTTGTTTTCTAAAAACAAATCTTCCTGTGGTTAAAGCATTAAAGTAATAAGTCCATCACGCTGTGGTGCGCGTATCCTTCGACGTGGTTATGTCTTTTTTTAGCTTTGTTCTATGTATTCTATAGCCCACGCGGCCTCAAAGCTAGATAAAAATAAATAACTTTAGATTGTAAAAAGTTTTGTTTGTGGAGTTATGTATATTTTTATGACTTTTTTTTCTTTAGGTAGCGCGTAGCGTAGCTGATAAAAATTTTTTTTTATTATGTCTTTGATTATACAGGTTTCCTCACGATGTTTTAATTCACCGCCTAGCACGTGGTAAATCAGCACTTAAAATTGCAATTAACGATTTGATTGGTGCCGGCGGGGATCGAAACCGGTTTGCTCGCGTACTGTGAAATTTACAGAGAGCACTAACCATCTGAGCTACCACGGCTCCGTGATAGATACGTGTGTTTATGTGTAACTGGTTTCTCGGTCCTAATGATTTTGATGAAATTTTGAATAAACTTGGATAATTTATTTTATATTATTTTATTATACAAGATTTTTTTAGATAGGTGTAATGCCTGAGAAAATTATATAATTTTTCTAATGATAAATAAAGCTTGGTTGCCCAGGTACTTTGTCTTATTCAAGAAAGCTTAAAGGCCGATCCGCCTCTTTTATATAAAACAATAAATCAACAATTTTTGTACTTGTTAATATACGTCATTTACGTGGTAGAAATATGATAAAGCTATATTAGTAGTATACTAGTACGAATGGGTCGGCTCGACCTGAGAAAGACTACGCTCTCACAGAATATCAGCGATGGTGAATGTGGAGAACCGGAGACCCTTTTAACTGGAGACGAGGCATTCCATCTTGGTCCTCAGAGGTGACAACGTGAAATGGGTCTCAGCCGATGACAAGGTAAACACAGTTACAGACTTAACATTTATTATAAGAAGAAAATACCGAGGAGAGGTTTACAAGTACTTATAGCTATTTAACCTATTTGGTAATGCATTTGTTAAGACTTGTGGATACACTCTGTCGTACTCTTTGATTTTAGTTCAATATATGTCAAAGAAATATAATTAATAAACAATTATTACAAAATTTAAAGGTATTTGTTAGCTATCTAAAGGATGTGACCGCTAATATGATATTATTGATAATTCAATAAAGAGACAACTTGGAAAGTATCGTTATACTATGTAGTTATGATAAAGATAATGGTTTGGTACATTACAAACGCATCTGCATTTTGATTCGCAATCGAGGATAGATGTAGATGTCTTTGGGCCGCAGCAACCACTTAGGTACCATCAGGTGGACTGTGTGCTCGCTTGTCAACCTTATTTTATAAAAAAAAATTAAAATAATAAAACAAACTACGGATACACCTAAAAGTAAAAGAATTTAGAAGAGTTAAAAATGTGCAATAAAGTTAAAGAGCTACGACTAAGGCCGTGTTTTGTGTATTTAAGTATGACACTAGAAACTGAAAAACTTATCAAAACGTAACAATTCACGTAGGGTGACACTATGTAACAGTAACTTCATCTCAGTCCCACCTACTGACTTCTGGTAAGCGGTAAATTATAAGCCCTCATTGTTATTGACATATAAATCGAAAGGTGTCGTTACACAGGAAACTTTATATTCAGAGTCCGGGAGACACGTCTATGACGCTGAGCGGAACAATGCGGCCGGCCACTTGATATTCAACAATAGAGACAATTCAGATCTGACAAAAAGGACTTGTCTATCAGGTCTATTGTAATTTAACACTATTAGATACAGCCTTTTGCTATTGTACGGGTTGTGTGACTTTAAATAATAAATACTTTTATTTAGGCCCTTTTGTAGCTCATAATGTCAGTTAGGGTCATTACTGGCTACTTGCAGCTTTAAATTGAGACAGACGAAATAAAGTTTTTTCGTCTGAGATTGAGACTTATATATTTTAAGTTGCAAGTGGCCAGTACCGTTAAAGTACTTCTGAAATATAAGAAAAAAAATATTTTTTTAATTCTGCATCCAAAAGCTGTGCCCGCACCGCTGTCTGCCAGGCTAAAGGATATAGATTCAGTATAATTACAGCCTGTAAGCATTTCAATTTAGACCTCAGAAGTGACAATACATGTA